TGATACAGAAACCAACTATTTTTTTTTATTTTATAATTTTATTTATTTTACTTACTTTTAATTTGATCAGAGAGGGACAGAGAGAGAGGGAAAGCAAGAAAGTTGCCAGGTCCAGGACTTGAACCGCAGTTGGCTATGTGGGAGTCCAGCGCCCTTAACCACCACACCACCTGTTGGCCCCAAAAATCAGCTATTTCTTTTATTTTTTTAAATTATTTAATTTAATTTTGTTTATTTATTTTAATTTGACCAGAAAGGCATAGAGTGAGAGAAAGAGAGGGAAAGTGAGAAAGCAAGCTGGCAGGTCCAGGGGTCAAACCACAGTCAGTCATGTAGGAGTCCAGAGCCTTTAATCACCACCCCACCTGCCAGCCCCAGAAATCAGCTATTTCTATCTAGTGTGTTAGGTAATCAAAGGCAATGCTTTCATTTTTTTAAAAGACATGTTTTTGCTATAGGGTACATGCACTCACCAGAAAGACAGAAAGTGAGAAATCACCGGCCGGAGGAATGGCCATAGTGCAACCCCTTCCCTCCATTCTTCTCTTGGGATTTTGGGCATGTACCCACACATGCTCAGCATGAGTTTTAAGCCGCTGGACTCAAACCACAGTCAACTGTGTGGGAGTCCAATGATACAACCACTACACCATCTGCTGGTCCCTTGTTTCTTTTTCTTTTTTTTAGGAGAGATTTTTGCTATAGGGTGCGTGCACTCACTGGAGAGAGAGAAAGTGAGAACTCGCCCCCCACTGGGGATGACCATGCTGCAATACCTTCTCCTCTATTCTCCTTTTGGGCACACACACACATACTCAGTTTGAGTTTGAAGTCTCTAGGTATGGAGACGCTTTCGTTTTAACTTCTACAAAGTCTATGAGAAAAGTTGCTTCCAACCCTTGAGAGATGTAAGTCAATCTCTTACCATATCTTCAGGAAATAATTTTCCTTTTTGTTGTTTAATTTTTTGCATTAGATCCCCTCCATCACAATATTCCATCACAATATACAGATGTCCTTCAGCTAAAACAAATACAAGACTCTTTAGGAAAGCCATAGTTAAGTATAAATCAAAATCAGGAAGGCACATAATTGAGAGAATTCAAAATTACCTTCAAACGATTCTTTAAAGGTGACAATATTGGGGTGTTTCATTTTGGCTAACAGAACAGCCTCCTTCCTAGATTTCTGCTTATCAGTGGAAGACTAGAAAAAGATTTTAAACAAGTGTAAATTTAATACTGCATTTTAATAGAGAGTTTTATAATAATATAGTATAGTTTATAAGACATGATTACTACATGCAGTTTTATAGCATTGCGCTTTGACCCAACGTAAGTTTATTAAACTCAGAGAGAAATCGTGATGATTTTCAACTATGGCTATATTTTACATCCTGACTTGATCCCTGCATTGTATTTTTGCTATTTTATTCAATCCTTACAAGTATAAATGTATTTTAACTAGTTTTAATATCAGCCTAGGCATCACCTGATGTGGAGAGCTAATATGCCATCAAATACTGTATGCTCTAAAAGAAAAACCAGGGATGTCATGTTTTGACCACCTACGTCACTATAGTCCTCTGGCCCAGATACAAAAGAATAGGCTGGCATTTTACTCCATCAAGGATGGATAAAGATGATAGGCAAAATAAATTTTCAAAACTGCTTATCCCTAACTTACTTACTCTATGAGGATGAAATCCTGAATGCCTTAAAAATCAAGAAACTGACACTCATGATATACTAGCACAAAGATCAGCAGCATCAGCACCAAGTGGGAACTTGTTAAAAATGCAATTCATGGGACCAGCAGTTAGCATAATGGCTATGTCACTGGACTACCACGTAGTCGACCGCGGTTCGAGTCCTGGACTCGGTGGCTTAAACTCACGTTAGGCGCGTGTGTGTGTGTGCCCAAGATCCTGAGAGGAGAATGGAGAAGGGATTGCGGCATGGCCAACGGCCTGGGAGGTGATTTCTTGCTTTCTGTCTCTCTGTCTCTCTCTGTGTGGCAAGCGCATGTGCCCTATAGCAAAAAAAAACTCTCAAAAAAAGAAAAAAATGCAATTCACTGGCCCAGCCAGACCTACTGAGTTGAAACTCGGGGGCAATTCACTGGCCCAGCCAGACCTACTGAGTTGAAACTCGGGGGCAGAGCACAGCAATCTGTTTTACCAAACTCTCCAGATGATTATGAGCCTTACTAAGTTTGAGAATCATTTTATAAGGTCAAGAATACAATGGGAAAGGGTCAGCAGGTGGTGTAGCAGTTATGTTGTTGGACTCACACATGGCCAACCATGGTTGGAGCCCTGGACACTGGCTTAAAACTAACACCAAGCACTTGTGCATTGGTGCCCAAGATCATGGTTGGAGATTGGAGGTGAAGGGATTGTATGAGTTCTCACTTTCCCTCTTTCTGTCTCTCACTGCCCACTCCCCTCGCCCCAGCACATATGCCCTGAGGCAAAAACCAGCTGGTGGTGTGGTGGTTAAGGGCACTGGACATCCACATGGCCAGCTGAGGCTGAGTCTTGGACCTGGCGGCTTGCTTTCTCACTTTTCTTCTCTCTCTCTTGCTCTGTCCCTTTCTGGTCAATTTTTTTTTTTCAAGTAAATAAGTAAAGTTAAATAAAATAATTCTTAAAAAAAAAAATAAAGAATACAGTGGGAAAAAACGCCTAGCACTCTGAGAACTTAATTAAAATGTAGTTTTAAATAAAGACTGATCAAAATGTTCTTAAGTAGTCTCCATGGAATGGATTCTTTCATATGACAACTCTGACACTCAGTAAAAAATTTTCTACAGGGAAATAAAACCTATAACCAGCCACAGAGTAGGTTCCCTAATACTAAAAGTTAGCATTTTAGGTCTTTGTTCTTCACTTACTTTTGTGTTCCTTTTTCATTAATATGATACCTGAGTTGCTTCTGGCAAAGATTTCCTACCCTGTTAGGTACAGGAAACTGGAAATGATTAATATTACTGATTATTCCTTAAGATAAAATAAATAATATTCATCACCAAAACTTTGACTATTTTCTACCATTAAAAAAAATTATATCAAATATATCAAACTCAAACAAGGGGGTTTGATATATTTTATGAACATATCAAAAGCTAATGTATAAACTGCATATAGGAAAAATTCTGTTAAACCTCATGGATTTCTTCTCTAATATAATTTGCATGTATACTTTCAACATAATTTCTTTAGCAGTGACCTTGGGAAGCCTTATTTCTTTCATGGCAAACATCTGATGACTGCTTTCCTGCTTAATCAGAAGAGCTCTGCCGAAGGAGCCCTCCCCGATCACTCTCAGGACTCTGTAGTCATCCATGCTGGGGCATCCACGCAGTGACTCTGGTCAGGAAGTCACCATGGGCTATCCCAAACTACATTCAAAAAGAGAAATATGTGAGAACCCAATTTACTTTCAAAAGGTAAAATTAATTCATAGTAGTTCTAATCACTGTGATAGGACAACAGCATCTTATTCATTTGAAAAGTGATCAGAGTATGCCACCCAAAATATATCTCTTTGGAGTAAGATTATTTTGAACTGATGCAATTTGCTCTTTGCTCTCCCCTGTTTTGTCTAAGCTTAGGGTACAGATTTCCCTTTGTACGGGTAACAAATTTCTATTTGTAAATGTGTCTTTCCCTCCAGTATTAGGAACAGGCCAACTCTTACCAGTGGAGAAGGCACCAACGTGAGTCTGCATAACAAACCATACTGTAAGCCTTATTGTCTGTCAGTTTCCCCCATGTATTTACCTTCCTTCAATTTGCCCTAAAAGTCCAACTTCCCCCTTTCTTTGATCTAATTATTTCACAATTTATCATTCTTTGTTAAAATGGCATATAGACCCCTGATCTGATCACTTATTTACATCTATGCAAATACAATAAATGTTTCCTCCTGTTAATCATACTTTTGTCAGTTTACTCTAAAGGGTCCCAGGTTCTAAATCTAAAGGGGGTAGAAAAAAATAAATTTTTTCTTCCCCTACACTATTCATTCAACAAGTCTCCACTGAGCACCAACTCTTGAGTCAGATGTTATAATACAGAACAAATGTCTCACAGTCCCTGCTATGGTAGATGCCTCATGCATTGGTAACCAGAAGCCTCAATAACAAAAAAGTTATACTGCAGGTGGTATGGTGGTTAAGAGCACTGGACTCCCACATGGCTAATCACGGTTCAAGTCCTGGACCTGGTGGCTTGCATTTTCATTTTCTCTGTCTCTCTCTGGTCAAATTAAAATAAATTAATAAATAAAGTTAAAATTTAAAAAATTCTTAAAAAAAAAAAAAAAACTATGCTAACCTGCAGCAGAAGAGGAAGGAAAAAGATATTTTACCTAAGCTTGAGAAGG